TGTGAAAAACTTCAGGAAAGAGTTCTCCAGAAGGAAAAGAAGTTTGGTGGTGAAATGCTGAGGTTAAACAAAAGAAAGAGGCAAAAAAAGGCGAGAATTGATGGGAAGGCCTGAAGATAAAGAAACTTACTATTTGGCAAATAAAACGACTAAAAATGCGGTGGCTATTGCGAAATCAAAAGCTTTAGAAGAGGCTTATAAAGTTTTCGAAAGGAAAGGAAAGGCAGTTGATGAGAATTGCCAAAGCAAGAGATAAGGCATCAAAAGATTTTACCTCTATTAAACTGATTAAAGATGATAAAGGAATGGTATTACAAGATTACGAAAGGGTCAAGGAAAGATGGAAAGTATATTTTAGGAATTTATTAAATGAAGAAACCCCAGAACTTTATACGAGAATGGAGGGGTAAATGAAGGAGTAGTGCAAGATATTAGCAGAAAATAAGTGGAAAGTGTGCTTAGGAAAATGAAGATGGGGAAAGAAGTAGGCACTGATTGGATTCCGGTTGAAGCTTGGAGAGGTTTGGGGTAAGGAGGGAATTGATATCCTCTGGGACCTTATGAAGAAACTCTGGCAACAGGAGAAGATCCGAGATGAATGGAGGAAGAGCATTATTATGCCGATCTTTAAAGGTAAAAGGGATGTACAGAATTGCGGAAATTACAGAGGTACAAAGATATTGTCCCATACTATGAAGATTTGGGAAAAAATTGTAGAAAGAAGGATTAGGCAGAAATCTGAGATTGGAGAGGAACAGTTTGGTTTTTTTTTGCCGGGAAGGAGTACGACTGATGCTATCTTTGCTCTAAAACAGCTGATGGAAAGGCGCAGGGAAATGCAGGAAGATTTGCACATGGTATTCATAGATCTAGAAAAGGCATATGATAGGGTATCAAAGCAAGAGATATGGAGACGTTTGAGGGAAAAGAATGTTCCAGAAAAATATGTTAGGCTCGTCAAGGAAATGTACGAGAGAGCGGAGACCCAAGTTAAGAGTAGTGTGGGCACTACAGAGGGGTTTTTTGTTAATGGTTTGCATCAGGGATCGGCACTTAGCCCTTATTTGTTTGGAAGTGTTGGAACTTTCTCAATCCAAGGCTGAGAAGAAACTGAAAGATCGGAGGAAAGTTTTGGAAGAAAAGGGATGAAGATTAGCAGAACTAAAACAGCTTATATGGCTCTGAATGGTAGAGATGAGTGTAATATTAAAATCCAAAATGTACCGCTCCCTTTTTGTTCCGAGTTTTAAATATCTTGGGACATTTGTCGAGATGGGAAAAGGATTGAACTCGGAGGTGCAGCATAGAATTCAATGTGGATGAATGAACTGGAGGAAGCTGAGCGGTGTTTTATGCGACAAGAAAGTTAGCTGCAGTCTAGAAGGAAAATTGTATAAATCAGTTGTTAGACCTGCAATGCTATATGGAGCTGAGACATGATCAATAACAAGAGCCCAAGAAAGAAAGATGAAGATGGCGGAGATGAGAATGTTGAGATGGATGTGTGGAGTATCAAGGAAGGATAGAATAAGGAATGTTTTTATTACAGGTTCTGTTAAGGTGGGCCCCTTGAGCAAAACAATGCAAGAATGTAGGTTTGGCACGTAGAGCGAAAAAGTGACAATTATGTTGGAAAAAAAAAAAGGAAAACTGGTAGTAAAGGAAAGAGGAAAAGAGAAGACCAAAGATGCGTTGGAAAGATAAGGTGAAAGAAGACTTGAACCAGAGGGGATTTAAGAGAGAAGAAGCCCTTGATAGAGAAAAATGGAAAAAAATATTAGAGAAGGAAACGCAGACCATTTGACATATGTCCTCCCGGTAGGAATCTCTTTTTGGCAGCTTGTCCACGTGTCGCGTTGCCCTATTCTGTTAATCGTGCCCCTAATCTGTTAAACGGAACGTTGCAGATCTGCATGCTTTATAATAAATTATACAAATATTAAAAATTATATATAAATTAAATAAGAAGAGAGATTATTCTATATTATTATTAATTTACATATAGATTTCATGGTGGAGTTTGAATGCAATAATTCATATATACCTTAAAGGATCTGATTCGAATCCAATTCGAGCATTCGTAATATTTCACAAATAATTCGAATTAAGATAAATTATGCATAAAAAATGGTTCTTCTAATTCTCATTTTACATTTTTTATTCAATTTGTTTTCCAACTTTTTCATAATGCCAAAAGTGAAACGAAATTGCATCCGTAGTGCGCTATTTCGTTATGTGAAATGTAATTAAACAACCCATAAAGTGCCCATAAAATTCAATGATTTTAAAGTAATATCCAGGATCTCAGAGAAAGATCTACATTACTATAAAATTTCATTTAAAAAACCGAGGCGGTTTATAGAAATGCAGTTTGCGGTAAAAGAAAAATTAACTGAAAAAATTTTAGTAAAAAAATTAATACAAAAGCCGAACTTGTTTTGTGTACATTCAGTGAACCTCAACGTGTGCTTCTTTAGTTTAGACGAAAAATGTCAAATCGATAACTGAAAGAAAAAGTTTTGAATTGAAATAACGTGACTTCCGGTTTGTATCCGAAGTTCATGGAAGTAATCGGGGTCTTCTATCCCCATAGTTTTTATATCTGGTCTTCCATCAGTCTAGCTCTGTTCTCGAGATTACGGAAAAACAGACAGACCGATGGACGATAGTGAGAATTTGTAAGTCTACAAGTTTTTCATATTTCAGCCCAACAAAACATAACAAACAGCGCCCTAAGTCGTCAGTAGAAAGCTGATCAGGAAGAAAAGCTGATAATTTTCGGTTATAATTAGATATAAATTTAAANATATAGTGAGAGAGGAGAGCCTAAAGGGATTTTATGTGGGGAAATTCCCCCTTTTTGTATCGTGTACTGATAAATCTTGTAATAGGAAGACGTTCCCTTTACAAGAGCTTTGTTTGAGGTAGGAAAGAAAAAGAAGAAAGATTTTTTTAGGAAAAAAAACTTTAGTATATTTTACAAAAAAAAAAAGCAATAAATAAATAATCCTTTTGGGGAATTTTAAAATTTGTTGAGGAACAAAGCTTTACTTTGTTTTTTCCCTTAAAAAACCTTGACTATAAATATATATATAAAAAAAAAACGTATTTTCTCCAAAGTTAATTTGTTAGTAAAGTTATCGAATTTTGAACGTGTACTAAATTATAATCTGATTAATATGAAGAAATTACCCTAATAGGAAATTTTATTTTAAAAAAATAACCATTCTTTTTGTTTTCATGAATAAATTAATAGAAGAAAATTACCCTATTAAGGAATTTTGTTTAAAAACTAATCCTTCTTTTTGTGCGTCAGAAATACATTAATGTAGGGAAATTACCCTACTAGGGAATTATCTTTAAAAAATAACCCTTGATTTCATAAATAAATTAATGTGAGGAAATTACCATATTAATTATTTTCTATTATTTAACGAAAATTCCCTAACCTGTCTCCCTGTTTATAAATATATATACTGTACAGCAGAGGTGTCCAACCCGCGATCCGCCGACCGCATGCGGCCCAAGGCAAGTTCCAATGCAGCCCAATAAATGTATAAACAAAACCGACAAATTTTTTTTTATTTTGTTTATTTATTTATTTCAACGGCATAAACTCAATAAAAGAAGTTTCACAAAGCCGTAAACCTTTATACATATTTTATTTTTGAGTGGAAAGGAAATATTTTCAAACGCTTGAAGAGTGTGAATGAGAAAGAAATAATAAATAAAGCTGGAGTTGTGACTCAAAGAATTACAAACCCAATTCGGAGAAAGGAGAGAAAGGCCAAAAGATAAAAAGTAGTGAGAAAGGCTAAATAGACTTTCTGTTAAGCAAATAAGGACGCTTAATTTTCCAACCTTCCTCACTTCTTTATCTTTTGTCCTTTCTCTCCTTCCCCCGCATTTGGGTCTATAATCCTTTTCAGTCCCGACTCCAGCTTTATTTAGTGTTCCTTCCAGTGTTGCATGATTTGGCTACTTTGCGCCAAAGTCGGCTACTCATTTTTTAGTTTGGCGTAAAAAATTTCATTTGGCGCATTGGCTACTTTTTGGGCTATATATTATTTATAAATATATTAGTCGAATAAAAATGCACTTTAAAATGGTGTTTTGTCATTTTTTTTTATTAATTAGAGACCCAAATAAAACAAATATTTGTGTTTTTTAAATAAATTTTTGTCTGTCTCCTTTATAATAAATAAATTTATCTATGTCTAAGTAAAAATTGAAAGTGTCTGTAGAAGTAATTTTTTAAAATATCCTTTTTCGTGATAAAGATTTAATACTTATTAATATTCTCTCTCGTGATTACTAAACCATCAAATGTATTTCTTCCAATTCTGCTTGGAAACTGACAGTCCGAATTATGAAATTCTCCACGATGTCTTACAAAAATTTACATTATTCAGCGTTTTGCCAAAATTTCGGTGCACACTATAATCTAGACATGTTAATCCTTAAATATACTTGTATATTTAAGGATTGGGCCACAAGTATATATAATATACTTGTGTCCCAAACTCCATGACATCTTCCAATGTGGCCCAGAGAAACAAAAAGGTTGGACAGCCCTGATATAAAAGCTATTAGACACCGACACACACGTACAGGTATACATTTGCATTCACAGAATTTTGTAATTTTGTAAGAGTTTTTTATTACAGTTTTGGGCTAATGGAGAGTCTAAACGTAAAGAAATGCAAAAAATGGCAATCAAAATTTGACCGATTACCATACTTTCCTTAAGTTATATTCTACAGTATAACAGTTGGGAAAGTAAAAGATTAAAAATAAAAACTAATTATTTGAAAGTTTAATTTTAGTAATAAATCATACAGATTAAAGTCTCATAATAATTTAATATTAGGTATTTATTTTAAATCTTTTTAAGCTATAAACTTTACTAAGCACGCTCATTAAATGCAATCAATTTTAATGATTGTAGGTTAAGCACTTTCGTCATTTGTCTTCTGTTTATAAAAGAAAAAGATTTTCTGATAAAACAATATAAATCTAGTAAGTATTATTTAACTAATTCCTTATATTTTCCCTAATTTTATAACATTTATATAAAATTAATTTAATGATTAAATTTGTGTAATATTTTTAATCCGACTTTTACAAATGCAGTATGAAGTTATATTGTACTCTATAACCAAAACGTAGTCTTAGTTCTACAAAATAAATAATCATATAAATACTATATAAATTAATATATTTTAATGTATTTCTATTTTCTATACCAAACAAACGTGCTGCTTTAAAATTATATTAGATATAGCTTGTAAGCAATATTGTTAATGTGAGATTTTACGTTATAATTGTAAATATAATTTATTAATATTTTATGAAGAGTTGGTAACTTTTTCGAACTTCATGTAAAAAAATAATTCTTACTTATGCAACTACATATAACCCCAGTTTCTTCCTGAACAATTTATTTAAAGTATAAATGAGTGTGTGAGAAGGAAATGGGAGCTTTAAGATGGATTTGTAAGTATTGTTATGTCTACGAAATAAAAAGGGAGAGTGGGGTATATTTAAGATAGAAAACCTAAAATGACAGATATTCATATGGAAAGTTATGCTGTTGGATTATAAACTAAACTATGTATGTATACTAAAGAGGGGCGAGGATTGAATAAAACCTGTGTCCGAAATGCCTTTGTAATTTAAATAAAGTGTCAGGAATCATTGGATCTATATAAACTCTATGTGGCTGGATAAATAAGAAGCGTCTTTATATGAAGTGTTTTATTAAGTTTACATATGAAAAACGTTATTTTATTTTTCGGTATTTATAAAATAAGTTTAGATAATAATTTTTCGTTTGATTTTTTTCCAAATTAAATAAAAACTTAATAGAATTTAACTATAGAGTCCAGATGATAATGCAGTAGAAATTAACATAAAACAATTCTTAAGTTTAAAATTAAAAATATTATAAATGATATTTGAATACTTTTTCTTACAGATTTAAAGTTAGAAAATGAATAAATCATCTTTGTTTTTCGTTTTATTGATTGTTTTCATTCTGCTTCCAAATAAAAGTGAGTTCTTTTTAAGTTAGTTGTATTTGTCATGTTAATATACTTATATAACTGATTATTTACTCTGTTAATAGACTGGTGTAAAGATTTAAGAGAACGTTCAGAAGAAAATGAACAAGTTCGTACTTACAGATGCAGATATGGACCGAGTGGAAGATCTGATAACGAAGAAAGTGACGAAGCAAGAAAAAATAACAATCCTTGTAGAAGTGGATAAGTCTTATTCACTGACATAACTCTTGTTATTGAAAAATAAAAAAATAAATGTATTAATTTCTATTTTTAATTTTTTAATTTTAATTTCAAAATTTCAGTTTTATGTGTCAGTCAATATAGACAAATTTAATTAAAAACATTTAAGCATTTTTAAATTATTAAATAATACCTCGTATATATTTAATTGAAAAAATAATACAAAAATCTATAAATTAATTATAAAAATATTTTAAAATATTTTATGTAATAGGTTCAAAAATGAGTATATAGGCCTATATACAGTGATACTTCGTACTTCGTACGATTCTAACTTCTAATGCTTTAGAGTTCGAACGCAAAATTCAACAAAAGTTCGCCTCGGAGTTCGAACTGAGCGTGCAGTAAAAATGTGCTTGAAACATAAACGCAACCTGTTATACGTCCAAGTCATCTCTCGCTTTTTCTTCGCATTATGCTTGTATGTTTTCAATGTTTAATCGCTATATTTTTGCTGTGTTTGATTATATATACTGTATTGTGTGTTATTCGTCTATTTTTAACAATTTCTTCCTGCAATTTTTCTTTATCGACAGCTTTTGGGCATCACCTATGTTTTTGTATCCTTTAGTTAAAAACTTCCTAAACGGAACTTTTTATTCACACTTGACATGCTTTGGATATAATAATAATAAAATTCATAACATTAATAAACAATATAACAGTATTTCTAATAATAGTAATAACGACAACAACAAGAAAACAATAAAAAGTAATCTGAAGTAATACATAATACGATGTGTTATGAAGTAGCGGCATCTGTGGAGAAAGGAAGACAACAAACAAACCCATAAACAGACTTCGGTTATTATATTTATAATTGGAGTGATATCTTTAAAAATGTGGTCAATGTCATATAATTTCGTTACGGTCATTCGTTTAGATCAATGATGCAAAATCTTTTTTTTGGATGAGTGACACAAATACACTTTGTAGTCATTTTTTCTCAAAATGGAGTTGGCAGCTTTTAGCTTGCTAAACGTACACCGTAACCGTCAGAATACTATGTACTAAAATAATATAGTTAATGATATACACACTAATAATGTATAGTTTATTCTCATATTTGCACTGGTCAAGCTTAGTTTGAATGTTCTTCGATTCAAATAGCTTAATTATGGTTGCATAACAGCACGAGGCAGAAAACGGGAAAATAAAATTACGTTGCCAAAGCCGAAGGCAGCAAATTAGACCTCGAGGGTAGTTCTCGACTGGTTTAGATTATTTTTGTCCTTTACATATTAAGAAGTATTTTTCACGCCTCTTATGGATTTTAACAAGCCTATAAGCTGGGTGGTGAAACTTGTTTAAAAATCAAATGAAAATTTCTGAGAATTTCACTCGAACTAGAACCGATCCGAAGATCCTGAGTGAACGCTTTCCATCTATCTGTTTATTATAACTTATGTTCGGATCGTTTGTACTATTAATATATAAATTAAAATTCCTAACATTAATTTGACTGGCTTTTAAAGTCAATGAAATAACAAGAAAATGTTTCGCGCAATACGAAACTCTATTAGAAAACTAATTGCGTTTTACGAAGATATATGAAAAAATGAATTTGTAAACGTATAAGAATATGCCAAAAGTTTTTAAACTTATAACTTCGGGAGACTGTAGGCTAAAACTATCGAATTAAAAATAATATTTTGTATGATTGCGAAAAACTGAAAAAGTATTTAGGCATTGTTTCATTAGGCATAGTTAAATGACAATAAGTCAATATTAATTATAGTCTTCAATGGTAAAATAATGACAAGACAAAAATCAAACTTGTATTGAATATTTTGATGTTCAGAAATAATAATTTATATAACATTAATTAATTTAATATGTTCAATTTATGTAAGTTATTTTACCTTTTAGAACACGGTAGTATTATTTCTCCAGAAATTGAATTTAGGTTTAATTTTCGAATCCACAGTAGCATGAAGTTAAAAGTTTATCATCTACTGCATCATAATTATCAAACATAATATTAGGTACTCTATCCCATTCCACTGCTTAAAAATGAATCATTTTCTGCATATCTCTCCGTTTCAGACTCTTCGTTGGAAAAGCCTACGTTGAGAATAGTTCTTAATTGTATTTGCTGTGACATTTCAAAGCGTGTGCAAAGTAATTTAATGCATAAAAGTCAAACGAAAAAACTATTATTTTCAGTAGAATAAAAAAAAATTAAACCTATCGTACTAACCTGTAAAACGTTTATTTTAGTTTTTCCCCCTCTCATCTATCTGGCCAATAGCAAAATGTATAAGCAATTGTCTGTAGTAGGTATTAAATTTTTTACGATGCCAAAATCTAATAATTTACAAGTGAAATTTGCCGGAAAAATTCTATTTTTTATGTTTTGTAAGAAATATTTTGTATCCGGAAGATATGCTGCATGATGATTGAAATATTACTATGTTACTTTTCTTTTTTTTAGAATCCCATCTTTTAATCATTCTTCAAAAATTTTTGTTCCTATCCAAGCATTTTTATTTAATGTGCATTCTGTAGGGAAGGTGGCAACATTCTTAAAACATCGCGGCTTTGCAGATTTACCTGTAACCAGTGGAATGGATTTTTCTGATAATCACTGTTATACAGTAGGACAATAATAAAACACTCAGTCTCTCTACTCTTCCTATTTTATGGCATTTTCTTCCTTTAATACGAGTGAGCATGGTATAAAATCGCAAAAAACACCAATCTTGTCGCAATTAAAAATATTGTACGCTTATATTGCTTCAAAAGTCGTAGCAAAATATCATTTATCCAATCTCAACCATCTCGGTATTGACATCATTTCTTACGAGATTTTACTGTATTTGGTAGTGTCGTAGTACCTTAGACGATATTAAAGCTGTATCTTCAACCTGAAAATAGTATAGTGTATACTGATTATTGATTTGATATCTTATTAATATGACCTTTCCATAGTCTGCGCATTTGTTATAAAAATTCTGGTAAGATTATAATTTGCTAGCTCTACTAAGCAACTTGCCATTTGGCTGCGTATTTTAAAAGCATCCACATTACCTAAAACTGAACTAGTCTAAGTTAGCAGCCCTACCTCACGCATACGTGAGTAAAACTGTGTGTCTCACATCCCAAATTTTTTTTGTGAGAACGGTGAATGATGCATTCACTCAACAATTTGATCCCTGTTTTTTCTGAAGTATCCAACTCCAGTCTTGTTGCAATTTCCCCACATCTAATGGGAGAATTCTCCTTGTTCCTATTTCTTGATCATCTTTATCTTTATCCTCAGAAAGAAATGACGCTAAACCGTTGGTTCAGATATGAGAATTTTTGATATCGCAGATCAAGCCTTGCGAAGTAATTACATATTTTACAAAAGGAAAATGATAGTTAACCTTTCACTAAAAGTGTAAGTTACTCTTTTAGTAACTTACACTTGAATGTTAGATTTGTTAAGCAGATTAGATGAAAATTATGACGTAAAATCTCGTTTATTTTGCCACATCTAAATTTCCGAATAAAATTGCATATGTTTTAATGTAAATCAAACTTCGTGTAAATGGGAATAAATGTAACTTTCGGTCACATTTGAATCGGATCACTTAAGTGTCAAGATAGGACCGAAAGTGACATTTATTCTTATTTATGTGGCAAACAGAATAGGAAAGTTTTGCGTTCCCAAATTCAATTAATGCTCTTAAACAGGATACTTTATTTACGGCAACGCGACATTTGGACGAACTGTCGAGGGGGATGCCTCCGGAAGGACTTTCTAATGAAAACTGGTCCAATATTAGGTGTTTTAAATGTGAAGAAAACCCGGAAACTCCACTTGTCCAGCCCGTTGGGGAGATGCAAACACACGACCATCCATCAGTGTTTAGTGGTTTTGTCCATAGGTCACTGATGAGCTATTAAGCGGAATTGATAGTTTGTGCTGTAGTTTTGGAAAAGTTTTCGGATTCCTCCGACAGATGACGATCAAATAAAATAAATCTTCATTTACACTCGACAAATTAAATTTATCTTCAGAATTTAGTAAGGATTTTATATTAGTCCAATAATTTTATTCGAAATCTCATTGTATTTTGTAAAAAATATGTAACTATGTAAATCAGTGATTATAGGTGTACGTCACTGATACATTACTTGCAACACCCAAGGAAGAAAACTAGATGAATCTAAAATAAAAGCCGAATTATTATCAACATTTTTTTTCTGATACAGGTATTTGGGCACTTCTGCATTTTAGTGACTTCCGTTCAATAATTTCTTTTCTTAAATTCTCTTGTTAAAATACAGTATTTAGATAGAATATTTGATTTTACCCTGTATTTAATAATATGGCCATATTCATTTTCCAGCTGTTTTTGTTTATTTCACTGTAGTAACTGCTTGAACCGTTACCTTATATTTGTCGCATGTTTTACATGCATCTAAGCCTGGTGGCCGAAATTCAAGTTACTCTCTGTGGTAAAAATATCGGAAAATGTCCTGAAGAACACTGATTATTTTACTGCTGTTAAGCATTTCTCAATGTAAAAGCCGTTTACTTTCTATTAATTTAATTCCGGAGAAAGGTATTGTCTATATGGATTATCTCTGCGTATGTAGTAAATTCTGTATTTTGAAATTCTTTTGTTAGTGAATGCTCTCACAATATCATTTTTATTTTTCATGAATCCTGTTAGGTCTTTTGTCACGTTTTTCATGTTACAAGGTCTTTAATAAATCATCAAAATTTAAGTTATTTGTAGTTCTTCACGACTACACTTGCTGTCTATCATTTCTGCTGGAATTGTGGCTTACAGGAATCATGCATGGAAATGCGATACTGTAAATCTCAATTTGAATGCTTCTGACATCTGTCATATAACTTGGACCTTATACACAATCAATGATTTTGAAGAAGGAAGATGTTCATAAATGGTTCATAAATGGCGAAACC